TGGACGATCCTGGAGCAGATTTTTGATATTACACATCCACTCCAATCCTGCTATCAGCGAGCTCCTCTGCCTCCAATCCACTTCCACACATTCCACCGCAACCTCCTTTGTAACAATAGACGCTCTTGTCCTCCTCCTCGTCTGCTGCAACACAATCACCTGCCCTCTCTGCCAACTTCTCATCTAATTCCCTCTTCACCACTCTGTCCAGATTCAACAAGCTTCCCCTCTTTGCAGACAGTTCCACTCGGCTGCCATCCTGGAGGTCGGATTCATGTAAGATCCTTGATCTTAGCCCTCATTTGAACGAGGTTGAGGCCACCGTCCTCCATCTCCCTAAGGGGTGCAGCCGCAAGTGCACAAATTTAGTCCATATCTTTATGGGAGCGTGGTTTTTCTTTAATTTCTACTTTAAGCCTTTGCTTTATGAGAAATCCAAGGCGAAGATCATCCATGATGAAAGTGGGTTTTCCGATTTTGATAAATCTGATTTGAGGGTTGCTATTTTTTTGGTTCAGTATGTCATGGAGAAAATATACATGTGGGTCTTCAAGGAAAGTCCTAACAACAATTTGGCAAAGCAAACTAAAAACTATCCGCTTTAGCTCTGCTAGGGTTTCTTTTTCTCCCCTGCTGAGCTTTCTCTCTTCCGCCGCCCCTCCGGCACTGCCGGAGGTTCCTCTGCATGGAGTCTTCTCTACTCTCCTCCGAGTTTCCACATCTTTCTTCTTCTTCTGCTGCTGCTACGCCGGTGTCTCTGCGCAACTGGAATCAGATATTTGCCCCGAACCCCTCATCTGCTTCCAAAGTCTTCAACTTTTTGCATCATCCTTCAGAACCTGATATTATCCCCTTTTCAAGTGAAAAGCTTGCTAAAGGGGGAGATGATTGGAGACTTTGTCTTGTGGGCTACTCTATAGGTCGGAGGCCCTTTTATGAAGCTTTGCTGGGAGCGATCAATAAAACGTGGAATCTAAAAGGTTCTCTGCAACTCCTTTCGCTAAGTGATGGCTTTTTCCTTTTTCGTTTTTCTTGTGTAGAGGATTACGATATGGCTTGGTCTAAAGGTGTGTGGTTTTTGCTTGGAAAACCCTTTGTTCTGCAAAAGTGGCACCCTAAATTTAAACCTAAGAGAGAAAATTTCGCCACAGTTCCTATATGGGTTAAAATACACGACCTTCCCCTTGCATGCTGGAATTCGGAGGGTATCTCAAGAATAGCTAGCAAGATTGGAGTTCCTTTAGCTGCTGACCACCTCACGGAGCAAAAAACTAGGCTTACCTTTGCTCGTGTATGTGTTCTTGTTGACTGTAATGCAACATATCCTGATTTTATCAAGGTTTCTCTGGATGGCGACATAGTTGAATTGAAGGTGCAATATGAATGGAGGCCGGTGCTCTGTGAACATTGTAAGTCTCTTGTTCACTACTCTTCTTCATGCCCTCAAAATCCAAAATCTTCTGAAAATGATATGGTGAATAATTTCCCCAAAACTCGTGGTAGAAGTTTCAGTAAAAAACCAACCAATCGTTTTTCTTCTAAGCCCCCCACGAACAACAGACCTCCCAGGTCGGATTCCAGACCTAAAGATGGCTCCATTCCAACTATTGCTGGTCCGTCCTCTACTCCTACTTCACCTAAACATTTAAATAGCATTGGACAACCTTTACACTATCAAGCTCACTCGCCTCCCCCTACGTCAAATAAAGATATCCTTCAGTCTAAACCTTTGGCTGAGGATATGCCGTCCAGTATGCTACCTGTTGCAGGAGCCTTCTAGCAACATCATTGTGGAACCAGTGACTGATACTATTGTTGCTAATATTCCTAATCTCAATATTCCCACAGAAGAAATTTCTGACTCTTCATCCTCCATGAAGATCATTTCACACAACCAATCTACTGCCATTACCTCACCTAACAAGTTTGAAATTTTTAATTCTCAAACTGAATCGGATCTGCAAGAGGTTTTGGTTACCGAAAATGATTTGGTGGGTAATTCTCTCAAGCAACCTGGGAAAAGTAAGAAGCAGCCAACGGTAGAATCAACCAAAAAATCTGCTAAGGAAAAGCAGAGTAAAAAATCCCACACTCATAACACTTCTTAATGTTTTTCCCTAACATTGGAGTTTGGAATGTTAGAGGCTCTAATAAGCTTGAAAAAGTTTTAAGTTGTAAGAGACTTATTTCTTCTTTTAAGCTTGACATGCTCTGTTTGCTGGAAACTCGTATTCACGCACCTTCTCTGGTGGACCCCTTTTTTGACTCTGCTCATTCTTTATTCCCGAATGAAGCTAGTATTAATAATTTTAACCTCTCTTCCTCTGGTAGGATTTGGGTTAAATGGAATTCTGAAAAGCTTGCTTTTTCCCCTACTGTTGTGACTACACAATTAATCAATGGACTTGTTACTGTAGGTAATCTACCCCCTTTTCAATTATCTATTGTCTATGCGGCTAATAGTTTTTTTGACAGAAAAGAACTTTGGGCTTCTATCTGTCAAGTGGCTCCCTCTTCTACTCTCCCTTGGGCTGTCTTGGGAGACTTCAATTGTTGTCGCTATGCTAATGAGAAGTCTGGCGGTTCTGCTCTTCACCATTCTAGCTTGGTGGATCTAAATTCCATGATTTTTGCTAATAGCTTGATGGATTTGCACTCTGTGGGTAACTTCTTTACTTGGTTTAACCAGCAAGCTTCAAACCCCATTTTTATTAAATTGGATCGTGCTCTTGTTAATGATGATTGGGTGAAGAACTTTCCTTCTTCTTTCTGCTCTTATCAGAGCCCCTCTTGCTCGGATCACTCTCCGATCATTTTACATTCTGGGGACTCCTCTACCTCTCATCACCGTTTTTTATTTAAGAATTTTTGGACTAAGCATGATAGATACTGGTCTTTTCTTTTAAATGCTTTGTCTTTGCCGCTAGTAGGGAACCCATTATCTCATTTTTGCAATGTTCTCAAATGTTTGAAAGGTGATTTAAAGAATCATGATTGGGCAAACTCTAATTCTTTAGATGTGCAACTTGAAGCCCTTCATGTCAAACAACAAAGTCTTTTGCATTTAATTCAGAATAATCCATCAGAAGCTGCCCTCCTTGTAGCTCTCAAAGACATAAATTTACATATTTCTGAAGTTTCTTCTATGAAGGCCAGTTGGATTATTCAAAGAGCTAAAATTAATTGGCTTCATCATGGAGAGGATGATTTGAAATTTCTTTATACTAAAATCAGGAGTAGAT